TAAAGCCATTGAAATTCCAAAAAGCCAAAAAGTGCAAGAACTTACACCGCAAAATAGACTCAAAAGAGTTAAAAGTTGCTTCGCTTGGCCGAAAGTGGTGAACTGCCGAATTTGGTTTTCTCCGATTAGAAAAAATTCGTTGTCCAGCAGTTTCTAAAGAAACAAAATCGTGTTTACTTGCCCAGGAGGTCAGCTGAAAATGTGCACCTTCGGTTGGCCACCAGAACTCAAGCGCCGGCCATAGTGATGGTGTGGGCCGCCATAACAGCCGATGATCGCTCTCCGCTCGTATCAATCGACCGTGGCATCATAATAAATGCCGAATATTATCGCGAAAATATTCTGGAGGGTATATTAAAGCCTTGGGCACGCAAACATTTTGGCCGCAGACCTTAACATTGAAAGGAAAGGAAAGGAATGCTTTTTAATACCCTATAGTTCGAAATTTCAAAAAAAAAACAGTTGGAACATCTATTCTACATAATTTAATTTTCAGCTGACGAATTTCGGTGGTGTGAATCCCATTATACAGATCTCCCAGTTTGGGCTATTATAAATGTCAGGGTGAAAGAAATGAAATAATGTATGGTTATTATTTACTTTTAAAACATTCATCTAAATTGCAAGATTTACAACGTTTCCTTCCATCATTTGATAGCGTATTTGATACTTTAACATCTCACCTCCATGCGAACATAACAACAACTCGCTTTTTAGACATGTTTAGATGCGACTTCTTAATTAAATTAATGCCATTGTTTCTTTTCTTCGGATAAACTGTGGGTCATTAAGAGTAGTTAGGCTACTTGTGTTAACATCTTCTTTGAATAAATGACCCCTAATAGAGGCAATCGCGGCATAACCGAGTTCATGGTGGTTGGAATTTCTTTTCAAAAGAAACCTAAAAACAATTTTGCTTTTTTAAACGTATTCTGAAATCATGCATCACACACAGACCGTGGTCTTTGAATTGAGAGTTTCGCCTTAAGCATTGGTTATTGTGTAAACGAAACAAATTATAAAATACTTTTAATCAATTTAACAATGAAACGCAAATAAAAACAAAACGTAGTTCAGGAATCTCGAACCGCAAGCAATCAAATCAAAGCACCTACAATAGATCACAAATACAATCCAAATTTAATTTCTTCACACACTAAATCCGTGCAAGACATTATGAATATGCACGAATGACAATATAAACTATTGTATATTGAAACTTAGCTATTAATTAGTTTATTTTTTTGATTATTTAAAAGACTAATTTCCTGATACAATTCCAATTCAATGGCCACCAATCACTCTAATCATGGCATTTGTTTACAATGTATCTAGTTTTGAAACGTTTGTTTGCTTGAATAAATTATTTGAAATATTTCCATTGTTTCGGTTTTCATGGGAAAAGAATAAACACCAATTAGATGGGTGGCTGTTAAAAAAAAAACATTTATAAATATTAATGAGGAGTGAATATCTACTTGAAACGCTGAATCCAATGGTTACTATCATATACGTAGGAGGAGATAAATTTACTTATTTTACCATTATTTTTCAAAGCAAAAATTAGAAAAAGTACAAAAAAAATCCAAAAATAAAATCACCCAAACAAAAATTGGCGATAACTGCAATGTGATAAAATTAAATTTTACCATATAGCAAGTAAAAGAGCTGCAAGTTCGGCCTAGCCGAACTTTGAATACTCTCCATCATTTGCAACGAATTTGGAAATTTTTAAAAAAATAACATACGCTAAAAATTAAAAAAAAACTTCTAGTATTGATTTTTAGACAATTCCATTGAAAAATGTGGCTAAAATCATCACAATAGCGAATATAGGGAGGTACCGTTATATTGGGGATAAACGATATCGTGCACCTATATATACACAATCATCCAGGGGATTAAGTACTCAGAAGGAAATCTTTATGTAGATTTTCAGACAATTCCATTGAAAAATTTGGCTACAATCATCAAAATACCGAATATGGGGGGTACCGTTGTAAGGGGGCTATACGATATCGTAGACTTATATAGACAATTATCTTCCATGGGGTAAAGTACTCAAGAGGAAGTCCGTGTGTTTATTTTCAGTCAATTTAATTGAAAAATGTGGCTAAAATTATCAAAATAAGTAATATCGGGGGTACCGTTGCATGGGAGGATGAGTTACAAACGGAATGACGAACATAATATACCCTACATACTATGTGTGGTGGAGGGTATAAAAAGTAAATCGAGATAAAACTTAGTTTGAATATAATGTGGGGGGCACATTTCTTTTTGTGAATGAGATCCGTCGACGGTTGTATAAAGAACCCAGAATAGAATAAACGAATAAAAAGGTCTATAGCAGAGCACCACAGGTCATCTGCTGCTAAAAATAATTGAAAATTTTGTCGTGAATGAGTTGTCTTTGATATGAACATAAGAGAAGATATCCAAATATAGTCATTGACATAAGAACAAAAGGATTCATTTCATTCGCTAAATAATGTCAAGCGTTGAAAAAAAGGAGTGAGACCTTCGAAAAAACCAAAGAAAACAGCACTGATACCCTTACATATTTTAAGTAAAATTCTTTCTTTTTATACCCTACAACACTATGTGTTGGGGGTATTATAAGTTTGATTGGGCCAAAAATTATGTAACACTTCGAAATATTGATTTCCCACATAGGAAAGTATATATGGATCTTCCTAGCTCGCCGAGCTGAGTCGATCTAGCTATGTATGTATGTCCGTCCGTCCGTCCGTCCGTCCGTCTGTCCGTCTGTCTATGTTAATTTGTAATCACTCTACAGGTCGCAATTATGGCCCGATCTTCACGAAATTTAGTATGGAGGGGGGGTTAATGTCAGAATAGAACCCTATTTCTTTTGGAGATGATCGCCAAATGTTTAGGGGTTGAAATGGACCAAATACTGAAAAAATGTCGGATTTTGCAGTAGCTATACAGGTCGCATTTATAGACCAATCGACGGAATTTCGCATGTAGCTAGAGTTTAGGGCGGGGAAGAAGCCTACCAATTTGGGTGGTCATCGGATTATATTTAGCGGGTAAAATAGACCATATCTTATGTATTGAAAAAATTCGAAATTGTTCATTAAACCGCGAATATTTTAAATCCCGGCGAAATCACAAAGCCATCACAAGGTTACTTTTGACATTTACTTTGATGTTAACATTCAACAAACCGGATATATAGCAAAATAGGTGCGATATATATGTCTATCAAAGAAGATATGCTTGAAAGATCTCTTATATGTCGAGAACGGCTGAACTGATTTCGACAGTTCTCATTAATTCAGAATGGCCTCTTGGCAGGAAAGAAGAAACGACTTAAAAAATCGCATAAAAATATCTCTATAAAGATGAAAATATTGATTTTGTAAAATTTTCTCATATTTTTTCAATTTTGTCATATTTTTGGCATATTTTCATTTTGAATTAAACATTTAGTAAAATTTCTACAGTTAACAAAACTAAGTAGTTAGGATATCAGTATATCATATACAGATCGCATTTATGGCCTGATCCTTACGAAATTTTGCATGGGTATTAGATGAGGGTCAGAATAGAAGCCTACTCTTTTTGGAGATGATCGCCATATATTTAGGAGTTGAAATGGACCAAAAAACTGCAACATTGTCAGCAGGTCGTAATTATCGCCCGATCCTCGCGCACATTTGAATGGGGGTTACCGCACATTGCAAAAGCCAAACAGTTTTGGATGGCCATCCAAAAAGATTCAAGATTCAGAAAAAGATTCAACATTTAAAAGTCTCTGTACTATACATTTTATACAAAATCAAGTGAAACCAAGTAACACCAGCAAGGAAAGGGCAAAAGTCGGGCAGTTCCGACTATATGATACCCTACACTTCTATGCATATTTAGCAGATCTAGGCGTAACTTAAATATATTTATACCCTCCACCATAGTATGGAGGGTATATTAAGTTTGTCATTCCGTTTGTAACACCTCGAAATATAGATTTTAGACCCCACAAAGTATACATATTCTTTATCACCATAAAATTCTATGTCGACTTAGCGATGTCCGTCCGTCTATCCGTCTGTCCGTCTGTGAAAATCACTCTAGCATCCGAACGAAATGAAGTGGGTTGATAAAATTTTACCCAAATGTACATTATGTCTGCAGGACTTTTGGTATTGAAAATGGGCCATGTAGGTCCACGTTTTGGTATAACCCCGATATAATAGTACCTCCCGATATTCGACATTATTCATCGGAATCGTTTCAAATTTGGTATTTGAAGTTCCTAATGGATACTACAGCCTATGATAGAAAATTATCTGTGCAGGTCCACGTCTTCGTATAGCACCCATATAATGGTTCCTCCCGATATTCGGTATTTTGATGATTTTAGCGAAACTATTCACAGGAATTGTTTCAGATTTAGTATTTAAAATTCAAAGTGGATACTACAGAATAAGACAGAAAATTTTCAGTGCCGGTCCACGCCTTCTCATAGCCTCCTTATAACGGTACCTCCCGATATTCGGTATTTTGATGATTTTAGCGACATTATTTACCGGAATTGTTTAAAATTTGGTATTTGAAGTTCGTAATAGATACTACAGCCTATGACAGATAATTGTCTGTGCAGGTCCACGTCTTCGTATAGCCCCCACATAATGGTACCTCCCGATATTCCGTATTTTGATGATTTTAGCGATATAATTCATAATCATAATTCAAAAATTTTAAACCGTAATTTACCTTTTAGCGGTTAAAAATTCAAACAATAAAATGATGTTCTTGTTTTTTCAATTGTTTTTCTATAGTTCAATGAAAACAGCAAAAATCGAGTATTTTTACATTTGGAAAAGGAATTCGTAGTTGTAACCATAGACAAATGGATATGGCTACGTAGACTCAACTCGCGAATAGTTGAGACCAGCATAGCTAGGGTAGGTCTAGGAGCCAAGATTTTTGCCAACACTGCTAATGCTACAAAATACTTTTAACGAAAAATGTGACATTTTAGTACAATTTTCAATTTATTCAATAAAAACAATAATTTAATGCTAAATAAGTTACTAATCAACTAAACGTGTCTTATTTCTAAACCAATTATTTATAGTTAATTTTCGGTGGCAAATAACCGTTTGCAGTAGCCGACGCAGAAGGCACGCCAAAACCGCTAGCCTTGTCCGATAATAAGCCTTCATTAATGGAGGCAAAATCCAAAACCGGAGCTTCACCTTCATTCGAATAACGCGAGGTACCGCCCAAACTATCGTATTCCTGTTGAATAATTTGTTGGGCACGCAATGCATCTTCGGGTGTGCGATATTTGACAAAGTGTACCTCTGGTTTCTCATTGCTATTTTGTTGGACGGTTTTCAATTTATTCGCCAATTCGGCGATGTCAGGCTGTTTGCTAAGCACATAAATGGCAGTCTTCGATTCGGCCGACTGTTTAGCCAACTGCAAAGCGGCATTTGCCAGACCATTATTTTCGGGTGTTTTGATAAATACAACGCGAAGATTTTTACGCATTGTGGCTGCCAAACGTTGGCTGCCATCAATGTCATTGAACTCTTCCTCAGGTGCTGTGTACGAATAAAATTCCTTGTTGAATTCTGGCTGGGATTCTAGGGATTGGTATTGTTCTCTGGCATTTGTATCGGCGGGGAATCCACCAAGTCCAATGTTATTTCCAGTGGCAACTCCATTGTCGACTGGTGTGGGTGCTGCTGTTGTTGTTCGGCCTCGGTGTTTGAATCGATTTCCAAATCCATGAGTCGATCCACCCGATGAGTAATTGTATCCCAGTTTTTCAGCATTGGCAGCAGCGAGGAGGACAATGATCTGAAAGTAATGAAAAAAACAACAATATTTTAATTTTTTGTGCCATTACTTTTAATTAAAATTTAGTTTCTTCATAGAAATGATCAAACTAGACTAAAACTTATTTAGATTTTTCAATCATTAGTAATCCCGACAACTTAACTTTGAACGAAATATACAAATATTTCATTAATTGGCGGATTTAAATGGAAATATTCAAAGTTGAAACTTTTCTTGTTCTGATAGCTCGAAAACTTCTTTAAGTCCTGCTGAATATTATGTATTTTATACCATCCGTCATAAGGTTAAGGGTATAATAAATTTGTCATTCCATTTGCAATACCTCAAAACTTCTCAATGTTAGAGTAAAATGTTATTATTATGTCCGTATCTGAAATCAGGGTCCACTTTTTGGTATTTTCCCATACAACAGTATTTCCTGCTATTTTGACGGTTTTTGTCCCATTTTTCAAAAAAATATGTTGTAATTTGACATTCTGAGTTTTTTTCTACGAAACTTTCAAATGCTAGAGGCTTTGGTTAGTCTGTTTCATTATGAATAAAATTTTCACATATTCAAAAAGTTCAACCAAATTTGATCTTTTGTCATGGAATCATATTCTGAGGCGATTTATACATGTCCGTCCGACTGTCCAAGTACGGGTGAGATGAAAAAAATTGCAACAAACTTCAGACTACTGTCATTTATAAGCCAGTCGACCGACAGCTGTTAAAACTATTACAGTGACAGCTCAATATATTATTTACAAGCGTACAAATCATTTTGGTGAGAGTTTTCCAGAAAAAAGTTATTCGTTATGGAATACAAGCTTGTGATTTCTTTATATTTGGCTGGAAAACCACAAGTGGCTATCGTTCCAGCACTCCAGCATTTAAATGTGAATAAATCTTTTATGTCTCGTACCATCGCTCGTTACAGTGATACTGGTAGCGTAGCTCGACGTCAAGGAAGTGGACGGAAGAAAACAGCAACATCAGCAGAAAGGGTTCGAAAAGTAAAGAAACGACTTGATCGAAACCCGCGTCGCAGTGGCCGAAAAATGGTTCGTGAGCTGAACATATCGCAATATTCCATTCGGCAAATATTGAAAAATAAGCTCGGGGTAAAGTCATTGAAATTCCAAAAAGTGCCAGAACTTACACCGCAACATAAAGAAAAAACACTCAAAAGAGCTAAAGAGTTGCTTCGCTTGGCCGAAAGTGGTGAACTGCCGAATTTGGTTTTATCCGAAGAGGAAAAATTCGTTGTCCAGCAGTTTGTAAACAAAAATGAAATGAAAATGTACAGCTTCGGTTGGCTACCAGAACTCAAGCGCCGGCCATAGTGATGGTGTGGGCCGCCACAACAGCCGATGGTTGCTCTCCGCTCGTATTAATCGACCGTGGCATTGGAAAAAAAGCCGAATATTATCTCGGAAATATTCTGGAAGGTGCACTAAAGCCTTGGGCACGCAAAAATTTTGTCTGCAGACCTTCGACATTCGAACAGGGCTCTGCAGCATTGTACTCAACGCCCGCCAACCAAAAATAGTTACAAAATAAGGGCCACCAAATTCTCCGGATACCAATCCGTTGAACTATTATGTCTGGAGTATTTTGGAAAGCAATGTTGGCACTAAAAAATATGAAAGTGTCGATCACCTCAAGCAAGCACTTCGCCGGGAATTGGCCAAAATACCGCAGAGCAACATTCGGGCAGGGTGTGACGATTTCATTGGTCGGGTAATGGCCATAATTGGTGTCAAAGGTGACTAATTCGAACAAATCTAAACTTATTCTAAAATTTGATGCTATTTCCGAAATTTTGTGCTTTCATTTAATAAAATTAAAAAAATATATATAATATTATTTTTTATTTTTTTATCTCACCCTGTATGGGCAATGTTCAATCTAATGGGATGGTTTCCGATCGAATCAAGCCTAGATGCAAGTGTTTCAAATTTAGGAAAATCGGGTCAGATATAGCTATAGCTCCCATACATGTTTGTTTAAGTCCTTGGCATTCATAATATGCATTGCACAACAATGATATTTTGTACCAGATATCAAATGTACCAGATATCAAATATAGATATACCTGTGCCAAATGTTATCGAAACGGGTTAAGATATATTTGCAGCTCCCATATATACCTTTATTCGATTTCACGTTTATTATGCACCAAATGGTTAATACAAGTGCAAATGAAGTGGATTTGACAAATCTGACCCGAAGAAAGTATTTCAAATTTGGTGAAAATCGTTTCAGATATAGCTGAAGCACACATATGTCTTACAATTCGGAGTAGTATTTTGGTAGAAAATGATAAAATCTTATCCCCCGATCTTCACCAAGGTTTGCATGGGGTTTGGGTTAGTATCAGAATATAGGCCTATAGGTTTGGAAGATGTTTGAAAAATACATAGGTCTTAAAATGGACCAAAACATAAACCTAACATGTAAGCAAAGGCTATAGCCGTCCGGGGCCGAATATGTGATATCCTACAACACTACAATGTGTTCGAAGTCTCCTTATGTTCAAGTATATTTTGGAAGATTTCGTTTCTGTTTTTGGTCCACTTCAACCCCTAAATATTTTGCAATCATCTCCAAAAGGGTTCTATTCTGACCCTAACCCCATCTCCATTTTCAATTTCGTGAGAATCGGGCCATAATTGCTAGATCGACTCAGCTCAGCTCGGCGAGATAGGAAGATCCATATATACTTCCTATGTGGGAAACCAATATTTCGGGGTGAACCATAATTTTTGGCCCAATCAAACTTATAATACCCCCAACACATAGTGTTGTAGGATATAAAAATTGTCTATATTTTGCAGTCTTTTCGAATAAGCGTATTAGGTATTTGACGTAAAATGCCGATTTTTATACCCTACACCACAAGGTGGTCAGGGTATTATGTCTTTGTGCATTTGTTTGTAACAGGCAAAAGGAAACGAGATAGACCCATAGTTCCTTTTGATGATCTGCATAGAATCACATTCTGAGTCGATTTATGCATGTCCGTCTGTCCGTCCGTCCGTCGTCCGTCTGTCCGTCTGTCCGTCTGTCCGTCTGTCCATGTATTTTTGTAAACAAAGTACAGTTCGCATTTATTGCCCTATCCAGATGAAATTTTGCACAAATCATTTGTTTGGCCCAAGGACGAACCCTATTGAAATTGGAGATAATCGGTCAAAATTTAGATATAGCTCGCATATATATCTTCGTCCGATTTGCCTTTTATTGTGCACCAAACGTGTAATATCAGTCCGAATAGTATGGAATTTTGCACGTACGGACCTGAAAATAAGTATGCCAGATTTGATCGAAATCGGTTCAGAAATAGCTATAGCTCCCATATATATTGTTCATCCGATTTGTCATTTTTGTTACCCACAGCCGTAATATGCACTCCGTAACAACGATATTCAAGGAAATATATCAAATACAGCTCAGAAATATCTTTGCCAAATTTTATCGAGATCGGTTCCGATTTGGATATAGCTCCCATATATATCTTTATCTGATTTCAAATTAATTGTGCACCAAATGGGTAATACAAGTCGGAATTTAAAAGATACAAATGCTTCGACAAATTTAGCCCTTTGAATTTTAAATTATAATTATAATCATTGCGTGTATGATTGAATTCTCCCATAAAAACTTTTAATTTTTATGCGCAACTCTACTAAATTCGCAAAGTGGTGTAGGGTATCATAAAGTCGGCCCCGACCGACTTTAAGACTTTCTTTACTGGTTTAGTTATGCGTTTATTTCTGCTCATGTTTATATGTAATCAAATTTCGGAGCCAAATCGCCCCAAAATTTAGCATGCAATTCCAGGTTCAGCCAATAGACCACCTCTGGTCAACAGGTCACAAATATGGACCAGTATTTTGCAATATGTTAGAGTATAGGACAGTGCCTGCCATTCTGGGGTTTTTTATTTTTAATATTTTTAATGCTGACATGTACATTGGTCGGCTGCGGCTTGGTTCACTTGTTTTTATACTCTACGTCACACTATGGTGCAGGATAAAATAGATTTAATATTTGTTTTATACATCGGATGCTGCCTAGCATCCATACTATTTTTCGATGTATATCTTTTTAAATTAGCCTGAGACTGCAAAAATCGGTTTGGTACTGCCTTCTATCAATCCCCGCTTTATATAAAGTATTTATTATTTTATTCACAGAATGTTGATTTTATGTGAACATGTCTGGGTTTCGATTTTTGTTTTTTCAAATTTTGATGTAGACCAAACACACATTTGATGTTTGATAATGTCTTTAACCGGAAGATATTCTCAATTTTTTTCTCTTTAAATTTGATTTCAAGGTACTTAATAATTCTTTATTGTCCACAATTCTACAAGTCACAATCATTTCACTCATTCTTATCTATTTCCATATATTTTTTTCATTGTCCATTTTTTATATTTTCCTTATATTTATTTAACACATCAACACTTACGAAAAATCCACGCATTTTACGTTTGAATCAATTTTGTAGAAAATTAAAAATAAAACCTTAACGGAAACAAATGTTTTGACGTTTAGTTGATGTTTAAACCATTGAATCTGATGCGCTGGGCATTTTATAGAGAAATTGATTATTTTGCTCTGCGCTCGCATGTGTAACGGCGTGTATCTTTATCTCTGATATGATTGCAACACTGCATAGCCAATTAAATGACATTTTACATGTCTGATTAATAACAGGCGGTATCTTCGATTTTAGGTGTTTTGCAAAGCATCCAACATCAAAAGCGCCCCACAACACAACATGAACTTGTTTTGTGAGAAAACTCAAAACTAAACAAAGACGAGCTGGAATTATGTAAACAAAACTAGTTTGTCACTTTGTTTGGATATTAGGAGGCGTGAGGTAAAGGTAGACCGTAACGATGTCTACAGTTTCTCAATTCACAATTGATTAAGATCTGAATACGAAGTTTTGAATGTATTGTTCAAAGTTGTTAAGAAAAAAATCATACTGAAAATTTTCAATTATCTAAATTGTCATAAAATAGAGTATTTCGAAGTTTTTAATTCATTTTTTTATAAAACTTCTATACAAAAAAACTTCAGAATGTATGATACCTTTTTTTTTGTCATATTACAAAAAGATATATTGATATTGGATGTCAATAATTTATATTTAATACTTTAGCAAAGTCATTATGATTTAATATTATAGAACGATATTTCATATTGCCATATTTTTCAACGGAACTATTAACTGATTAGACACGTAGCGGTTTTTCCACGTAACAGCACCTACCGGTATTCCGTAGTTTGAAAATTTTGTCACATTTTTTAACGGACTTGTTTGAAAGTTTGGTGGTTAAAGTTCTTAATGGGCAATAAATACTCTAGCAGATACAACAAAGTCAAACGCTATAATTTCAAAGTTTTTTAAATTTTATTCAATGAAAGCAAAAAATGTCGAAAATAGCATCAAATTTTAGAATAAATTTAAATTTGTTCAAATTGGTCAACTTATAGCCATCAAACTACAAATGAAATCGTCACACGCTGCTCGAATGTTGATCTGCGGTATTTTGGCCCACTCCCGGCGAAGCGCTTCCTTGAGGTGATCGACACTTCGGTATTTTTTAGTGCCTACCAAAAACCTCCAGACACAATAGTCCAACGGATTCGTATCCGGAGTTTTTAGGGACCATTGTGCGCTGGAAATGAAGCGAGGAACCTCATTTTGTAACCACTCTTGGGCGGAGCGTGCTAAGTGCGATGGTGCTGAGTCCTGTTGGAATGTCCTAGATCTGCGGCCAAAATGTTTGCTTGACCAAGGCTTTAATACACCCTCCAGAATATTTTCGCGACTCGCGATTTCGGCCACTGCGAAGCGGGTTTCGATCACGTCACTTCTTTATATTTCGAGCCATTTCTGTTGGCGTTGCTGTTTTCTTCCGTCCACTTTCTTGACGTCCGGCTACGCTACCAGTATCACGGTAACGAGCGATGGTACGAGAAATAAAAGATTTGTTCACATTTAAATGCTGGAGTGCTCTAACGATAGCCACTTTTGGTTTTCCAGTCAAATATAAAGAAATCACATTATCACGCTTGAATTCCATCACGAATAACTTTTTTTCTGAAAAATTCTCACCAAAATGCTTTGTCGGCAGCAGTCTGAAGTTGGTTGCAGTTTTTCATCTCACCCTGTGTATTTGGCTGTAGCTCCCATATAACAGTACCTCATTTTTCAGCAGTTGGCTCTATTTGACTTGTAAATGGAAAGATTGAAAACTCTTATTAAAACTCGGAAAGTTAAAAACATCCGAAATATAATTTTTAAAAATGCGTTCTAAAACTTGGTCACTTTCGGATGTGATTCATAATAAAAGACATTTTGTGTGAAGAAGTTAACTCGACAAATATTTGATGGGTTTGTGTTTGATCAATGCCACAACTTGAAGTTGGAAATTGTACATTGTCATTGTCATTTAATGCTGAGTAACAGGGATATTTGAAACGCATAATCGTATATCACGCTTCACATTGCGATTAAAAGTAATGTTTGAAATTTTATGAGAAAATTAGTTTGTATGTAAAAATTGATATTGCCCACTGGGTTATTGCGAAATATTAATTCCGTATGTTCCTCTTTTTTTGAAGATAATAATATTTTAATTAAGATTTATTAAGACGCCTTTGGTTTTGGATATATCTTTGCTGGCATAATTTCTCCTAACCTTGGACGACGTACATATCGTACGTTTTTAGTCTCTCCATGATTCTTAAATTAGATCTTATTATCTTTTCATTTCGTTATTATCATTTCATTGCCTTTCGTATGCCAGCGTTGTAATGCATAGTAGTTTCGAATGGAAACCCCGTGCTTACGCTAAGCTGATGGTAGGTTAAAATTGACACATCCTACATCGAATGCTTATATCGAGCTTTGTTGTTTACATTGCGTCGGGACCTTTTTTTTATTTTTTTGGGTGAAACTGCTTGGTTGTTCCCATGGCTTACCGTTACTTGTGTTGCGTTACTTTTTTGAACAAGTTGAGAAAATCTTTAGTTATAAATGCATTATTCTACTAATTTGAACGAAAAAACATGCCCATTTCCAAAAATACTTCGATCAATGTAAATGCAACGTACAATTACACAAGCTAAATGCTTAAAAAACAGTTCAGCCAGGGTATCTGCAAATAACACTCATACTTCAAATAAAAAATTAAGAATTTGATTTAAAAAATAAATAAAAATAAAAAAAAAAAAATTTGACTAAAATTTGCCTTAGAAGTAATTGGTTTATAGTTAGTTTAAAAGAAACTAGTTTATATTTTGTTTCAAAGTAATGCAGAAATGGACAATTGTCCACTGCCTAGCTCATCCCCATGTTAAAATAGTTAGTTGACGTAAAGGAAATAAATAAAAAAAATTAGTTGTAGTTTTTTATACCCTCAGCCATATGGCTACAGAGGGTATATATCATTTGATAAGGTCAAAACGTGCCTAGTTGAAATAATGGTTTTAGACCCTAGATCTCTTTGGACCAAATCCGTTTCAGAACATTTGGAGTCGATCTACCGATGTCAGTCCGTCCGTCCGTCTGTCTGTCTGGCTGGTGCGCACGATAACTCTCGAAAGGAGTATCCGATTTGATCCAAACTTGGTACATCGTAATATTTTTGTCAAACTTAGATCGAGTTCGGAGATGGGCAATATCGGTCCACTCCTTCTGGTACCTCCCACACAAAATGTCAAAATTTTCAAAGAAAATAATTTATTGCACAGAAAGAGAAAGGATAATCCGATTTTGCTCGAACTTTGCGAATCCTAATATTTTCATCAGTGCCAGGTCAGGTGCGAAAATGGACAATATCGGTCCACTCCATCAAGTACCTCCCCCACAAAGGGTCAAAATTTTTAATAATTACAACTCCTATAAAATGTGACATAAGAGTCCGATTGTCTTCAAATTTCACACATCCCAATAATTTTATTAACCCAAGGTTTGGGTTTAAGAGGGAATACATCGGTCCACTCCTTTTGGTACCTCCCCCACAAAAGGTCGAAATTTTCAAAAAAAAATATATAAAATATATTTTATGCCCAGAAAGAGAAACGATTACCCGATTTTGCTCTATCTTTGCAAATCCTAATATTTGCGTCAGTGCTAGGTCAGGTGCTAAAATGGACAGTACCGGTCCACTCCTTCTGGTACCTCCCCCACAAAGTGTCGAAATTTTGAATACCCATGAAGCTCATAAAACGCCAAATTAAGATCCGATTCCATTTAGACTTGGCACATCTCAATATTTCTCTCAACACAAGATCTGTTATAAAGTTGGCATAGATCGAACCACTTCTTCTGGTACCTCCCCCATACATAGGGTTCAAGATTTTGAAAAACAAAACGCTCAAATAAAGCGAAATAAGCATCCAACTCTCTTCAAATTTTACACATACAAATATTTTTGCTAACACAAGATCTGTTGTGAAGTTGATATATATCTGCGAACCCCTTCTGGTACCTCACACACAAAGGGTAAAATTTTCAACAATTTTATTTGTCATAACTTTCGAAACAATTTAGCAATTCTTTACTGGTTGCTATGCTCAAATATTTTTTTCAATAAGAAGCCTGATATGAATATTAAAGTTATCGGAATTTATGATTTCGCATAAAATTGGACATAAATATCCTTTCTTGTAATTTTGCCCAATATTTCGCTCAATATTTTTTATTTGTATCAGATGAGGTATAAAAATGAAATATTTCGGTAGACTCTATCTGGTACATCACGCACATTTTAACATTTTCTAAAAATTATTACATATCTCATATAAAGTGAAGGAGTAAGTCATACCAGGAACTTTGGAATATTTATATCATATTGGACAATATTGGCCCATTCCTTCGGAACCGGCTCCATAGAGGGTCAAACGTTTGAATAATTGTAACAAGAGTCAAATATATTTCGATTATTTAATCGAACATAGGCTGAGGTTATATATCTGTCGGCAATACCGACTGATACTTTTTAACTTGTTTTTTTTTTCTTACCCGTACCCATATTCTGTCAAAACGTATACACAGTTTGTATATGTGTGTGCATTGTTTTGAATTACTTGGATTCAATTTTGTAAAGAAATCCCAATATTTCATTCATATTTTGCGGGTATTCTTGTAAAAAAATTGAAAAAATACGAAATCAATTGCTGCAATTTCGGAAGCATATTTGACACAACAAGCGTTTTCAATATGCGCTTTAAGAATTTTTATCCGGTTTTGTTCAAGAAAAAAAAAACCGAAGCAATATTAAAACAAGTAAGCAAAGGTTATAGCCGTGCGGGGCCGACCATGTGATACCCTACAACAAGAGAATATGTTAGAAGCCCCCTTATGTCCAAATCCATTTTGGAAGATTTTGCTTTTTATTTAGTTATATTCGTCAACGAAATCAGCATAAAAAAGCCAGAAGTTCGCCTTTTGTGTATTTCGGATATCATCTGTAAGAATTGGTGATATTTTTCACACAAAAGTAGTGGTCCATCTTACCCGCTGTCCTAAACTCTACCTTCATG